ATGTCCACAGCTGCAATGTTAAGAAACGAAGTCTCTCGAACAGAAGTAACCCACACAGCACAGGGATGTCCCAGGGATGTCCCAGGGATGTCCCAAACAGGACGACTTGTCCCCTGGCCTGCATAGGATATCCTGAAGACATCTTCTTTCGGACGTCTCGTAAGGGATGGCTTCGGGATATCTAAGAGACGTCTTTTCGACATCTTCAGTCGATATCTTAGAGATATCCCTTTCGGGACATCTTGAAGGCATCCTCAGTCGAATGCTTCTGGATATGCTGGAGGGGATATCCTGAAGACATCTTTTCGATATCTCGAAGAGGATTATAGCGGGGACATCTTAGGGATGTCTTTATGCATCTTCAGTGCTCTCTGTCGCCTTCAGTCAGGTGCAGAGCTTCGACGGTAGATGTCTCCTGTGGGCCCTGTGATCTGCAACCTCAGATCTTTTTTTGTGAAATTCATCTACTTGATTTGTCCTGAGGATAAGCTAGGACTTTTCGTACCTTTCATCAGGAAAACTGCCACCAGGGAAAGTGAAAAAAAGCGGTTCGAATTGTAATTTATTCCAATATATTCTATTTAATGATGAGTGACTGGCATGTCTGGATACGACCATCTCGGTTGGAGGCCTGAGTCCATACTTTTCAGAAGGTTAAATCAAAACCGTTCACGATCGCTTGGGCTAAGGTACTAAATTTCGTCTCTTGGTGATGTGTCTCCGATGAGGGTACGAAAAGTCCTAGCTTATCCTCAGGACAAATCAAGTAGATGAATTTCACAAAAAAAGATCTGAGGTTGCAGATCACAGGGCCCACAGGAGACATCTACCGTCGAAGCTCTNTTTATTTGTTTTTTCTCCCCCCCCCCCCCCCCCATAATCGTCACTCTTCAATCAGTCTTGAACTTGAGATTAGGTGTTCCTCGATCAAATAGAGACCTCTTCAAAAGCAATCGCTTCTCCGGTGCGGTAGGAAATGAGTCCATTGCGGATAGGAAGGCGCCTGCAAGTACTAACCGGGACTTCTCACGTGTCCCTAAGGGATATCTCTGGGACATCCTTCGGATGTGCTTGTGCTGCAAGGAAGAAACATCCCTGGGATGTCACTGGGCCCAGACATTTTGATATCCCCGAGATGTCCCTGTCTCTGGGACGTCGCACTCGTCCCATGGGGATGTCTCTGGGATATCTTTGGGATGCACCTGTGCTGTGTGGGACTCACGCTCGGGAAACCACTTACGCGACCTGGCAGACTTCGTCGAGTCCCAGCAACGGGCAGAAGCTGTCGGTTGGGGCTCCCTTTTTTTTTATTATCTGGCTCTCCTTCAGCCCTTGACACCTCAAGCACATTAGTGCAGGACTTCGAGGCAGCACGGGAATTAGCCTATTAGAGTCTGAACTCTGTTTTGATGGTAGCTTTGATGCGAATAATAACATTAATATATATAGAGGTTCTAGCTTTCGGTAATTAGTTCTCACTCGAAGTTATTAAAAAGAGCTGGTGGGCTTGGAAATCATCTGAACATTGCTCCCCTCTAGGCAATTGGAAATTTTCAACTTTGTTTAGGACCTGTTTTATGAACCAACTAGTGTTGGGGAGTATTTCAAATAGTAGATAATACAAATTGATGTATTTTTTTTTTATTTTCATAGTTTTTTATTCATTGGTTCGCGACTTTTTTTCGTAGGGGGAGTACGACAATTGTTCGGGAAACAGGAGAAACTACCCGGAATTATCGTTCCTCACCTTCCCTAGGGATTACGAGGCATTTTATTGCCACTGCCCCAATCCTCATCGAACGAAAAAGAGCAACCTTCAAATGAGGATGCATCGAACAGTCGTCGGTGGCCTTTCCGCCAGGCGGCCAGTGCGCCTGCGCCCTCCGCGATTTCCATCCGGGGGAGGGAATGCACGCGCTTCTTCGGTCCCCTCGGGGTCGAGTGAGAAAGGGGGTCAGTTCGGGTTCGGTCGTGCTGGCGGGAGGGTGTGCGCGGATGCTCCGGTTCGTTGCGCGCGGTGTGGAGGGGAAGGAGCGGTTCCGGGTTTCGAATGAGTGATCCCGTCGAGTGCAGCAAAGATCAATTAAGTTAATTAATTAATTAGGTAGGAGTAATCGGTGGCAGCCGCTTCGTGTCGTTTCGCGCGTCGTTGTTCGACCCCGCGTAACGCGTTGAGATCCATCGACGAGCGGGAAGGCTAGGTCGAAAAGTGAGAACTGCGGTTCGTGCTGACAAGGAAGAGATCGGCTCCTCGTGCACCGAAAGGAAGAAGACAGGCAGACCGTAAGCTCTTTCGATCTGGGTTCGTCACGTTTCCGGCCTCTCCGTTTTGGATTCGTCTCGAAGGGAGACCCTGGCCTACGGAAGGAAATCCGAGACGGACGGGTACAGGCACCGTGCACGTACCATTGAGGTACCTTGTCACCTGCTGCGCATTTTTCGTCGGCCTCGACGATAGAAGAGGGCGAGCGCGTCGGGGCTTCGAAATCCAATAAGTCGCCTCGTGCGCTCGAACCTGCCAGCCTCGGCTCACCCCGATTATCCGAGATTTCCCTGGTTTACCTGGAAGGGCGGTCGCGAACGGTGCGGCGAACGTTTCCAGTGCGGGTACTCGTTTCTCCGGATCGATCTGGTTGACGGGTCGATAATCCGGAAAGGTCATCGGGTACGCGTCGGTCATTAAGGGCTCCATGTCCGTTGGGCGAAGTGGAATGGGGAGAAAACCAGTTTCTCGGTGACCGATCACGTTTTCCGGGTATTCGTGAGAGCAAATGCCGAGATTAAGGGGGGGGGGGGGGGGGGGGGGGGGGGGGGGGGGGGGNGGGGGGGGGGGGGGGGGGGTGGGGAGAGAGGAGAAGCGGGCATTCGTAGTTTCGTCATGGGGGCGAGCTCACGCGTGTTAGCTGCGGTGTCCCACGATCGTGTTTTAATTGGTCGACAGGCTTGAATCCTGAGGGTTTATGCGTAAGATAGCGTATGAGATGCAGGAAATGATTTTTTTAAATCGCATTTTTCTTTAGATGCTTAGCGTGCAGGTCGCCGTCTTCTTCTGCGTTTGCTCGGCGGGGATCCTCTCCGCTCGGGTGAGTTCGCGGGAAAAAAATGCGGGAGTTCCGATTTCGTCGGTTCACGATTTTTTTTTTTCCGCAGGGGGAGCGCCACAACGTGACGAACCACGTGTACTTCGACATGGACGTGGGCGGGGAGGCGGCGGGTCGGATCGTGATCGCGTTGTTCGGGGCGACGCCGAAGACGGCGAGGAACTTCCTCACGCTGGCGACGACGGGGCACCGGGGTCGGTCGTACAGGGGCTCGGGGTTCCACAGGGTCATCCCGAGGTTCATGATCCAGGGGGGGGACATCACGAAGGGGGATGGCACGGGGGGGTTCAGCATCTACGGTGAGAAGTTCCCGGACGAGAACTTCGACGTCAAGCACAGCGGGCCGGGGTTCCTCAGCATGGCGAATTCGGGTAGGCGAGAAAAATTCCTCTTTTTTGTGCAAATTTTCCTTCAGAAATTGTCCAGGCTCGTTGGCTCTGGCCGTTTTAAATCAACTATTGAGAGAAAAAAATAAAGGAACAAAAATACATATATATAAGGTAAAGGCACCAGTTTGTGGACAGGTTAAGGAAATTTTTCCTCTTGAAAATTGCATAATGGTCATTGGGGCAAACGAGAAACCGCTTGATTGATTTCAATGGGAGGCCACTTATAGTTTGTTGCCCATACCCTAAAATATTAAATATATACAACAATAGCTGTTTAAATGGATACGTGTTTATTTTCACGTGGTTCCTATTTGTGGACACCAGTTTTTGTCCACAATTATGAGCGTGCGTAGGCGGAATATAAAAATATGGGCATGAGATATGAGCAGCAGTTGTATTCATCTTCAATGACGTCCTGTTAAGAAATATCATTTTAAAAAAAGGATTCAGGGGTGCTAAGTTTAAAACTCAGCGGAAATGTCAAAGTTCACTTATGCTGATGGGTATGCAGAATTTATATTGTGGCTGACAGGCATGTGCAAAATATGGAGCATTTGAGGAAATAAATTTTCCGCGTGAATTTTGTGAATGGCAAAAAACGCATAACTGTCCACAAACTGGTGCCTCTACCCTATGTATTTTTAAATGGTTGTTTCTGTGTGCTTCCAGTGACGATTGCGTCTAAAAGCCCTATTCGGACCACGGAAGTTTTTTTTTTTTTCTTCCCGTGAATCACAATGGAATTTTTCACGGAAGTCTCGAATTTGAGGCCGCGTGAAATGGAAGCAGCCAGCGATCTGGAAATGTGAAAGTCGATTTAAGCCGATTCGACCGAGAAACTCGTTACCTCCTGCGGAGGAGAAAATCGCTTCCGAATAATGTATAAATCTAGAAAAGCGGGATTGGGCTTTGGAGAGCCAGTTAATCCTGAACACCATTTCGATACCGGTTGTGCGTCTCTTTCAGGGGAGGATACAAACGGCAGCCAGTTCTTCATTACGACAGCGGCGACCCCCTGGCTCAACGGCCGTCATGTCGTCTTCGGAAAGGTGAGAACAACGAATGCTTGGAAGTCGATGGAGCACCGATGACTACGAGGGGTCTCTCGCAGGTCGTGGAGGGGATGGCGGTGGTGCACACGATCGAGAAGTTGAAGACCGACAGCAATGACCGGCCCCTCAAACCGGCCGTCATCCGGGATTCCGGGGAGCTCCCGCTCAGAAAGTCCTACCTCCTCTCTGACGATCCTTACGAGTGAGATCCTCCACCGTGGATGCAGTTCTTCCCCCCCCCCCCACACATCCTCTTTCCCTTCCAGCAGCGAGCTCGTACGCACTGTAGGTAGTCACCCTCCTCGGCACACCCTCGAGATGTGGTTTAAGATGTGACATGACATTTGCTCGTTTCGTTCCTGATGATGTGCTCGTTCTCGTACAGCCTGTGGGTGTGGGCAAGGATGGCGGCCGTGCCTCTGGCTTTCTCAATGTTCATTGTTGGCATCTTTCAGTACTTTCTTTATCAGATGAGGGAGAAGAAACTCCAATAAACTCATCATGCTTACCGAGAGCTTCACGCGTACGACTGGGTGTAAAAGGGTACCCGTCTTCACAATATCTTTCATTATGCATTTCAATGGCTCTTTCCTCTAGATGGAATCAAAAATTTCCCATTTCTGAAAACATGTACGTCTGGTAAATAAAACACGGTTTTATTCTGAAAAAAAAAAGAACGGGTTGGAACATTCAAATTCCAGGAGGGCGTTCAAATCTGCCTACAAAGATAGCATATGGGAAAAAAGGATTCAACTCTTTGAGCAGTGTCACCAAGAAAGCCATATACAGAACTAAAAGGGAAGAAGATTGCTATAAATTGCTGGATTGAGCTAAAAAAGGAAAAAAGCAGCGTCCATCAAATGAAACGTTATCACCTGCATTCATAATGCCCATGATTGTACTTATTACTGGTGCTCAAATCTGTCTACTGAAGAACAATCAATAGCAGAGAATCTTTGCCCAAGTGACTGGAGAAACGGCTGACATAGATGAGGCGAGTGCACATATCACCTTAATTGATTAGCATCTCAATGGGGTCTGTTGGAAACTAATTACTCAGGAATAATTGAGACCAATACCCTGCTAAAAAAACAAAAACCTCCGATAATAATTTAAAAATATGCAACTGCCACAAATCGATAATAGGGAAGCCTGAGAGAGGACTGTGAGAGGATATCACTGAGGTTCCCCCTTAGGATCACTACCCAAAGAAAAAATCATAACAGGAACTATCAGAATTACACTTACAGGGACAAAATAATAATTTTCTGTCCTTTTAGCATGACATCGGTTCAGAGGGAAGTACAGGGTTCAGGCATCACAGATGAAAGGATGTTGAAGTGCTTCAGCTGCAGTGATTCTGGTGTAGGGGTTAGGATCCAGCAGCTTTTTCAAGAGATCAAATGCCATATCAGGAATGTCATTGGGACGATTTTCAGGTTTTCTTTGCTCCTTCACTTCACTGTCATCATTCAACTGCTCTACCACAGAGTGTCTCAGACTGAGGCAGACATCCTTCAAGTCCGAGGGGCACACTGGCTCTGACAGGAGGAGATGTTTCCCTGCATTGGATTTTGAAAACAATCATTATTGGAAGATGAAATTTGTCTCTATGTGAAAACCTAAAGCTGATTTTATTAGAAAAGTCTGGAACAGCTTCGAGACAAAAACTTAATGGATTTTTCCTTTGGTTTCCTTAAAAGAAAAAAGAAACCACTCACCGCAATGGTCAGCCATATCACAGACAGGTTGAGATCCAAGGAGGGTGATAATTTCAGCCAAGGCAGTGCAATCATCAGGAGCTTTGAAGAATGGGTACCGCCTGCTCAGCATGCTTAGAAAAATGACCCCCACTGACCAAATGTCCACAGCTGCAATGTTAAGAAAAGAAGCCTCTTGAACAGAACACTTGGGAAACCAATTCCAAGCTATGGACACTTACCAGTAGTTTGAAAGGGACACTTCATGAGGACTTCAGGTGCTCGAAAGCCAGGAGTACCAGCTCGATAGGCATACTGTACAGGTTTCTTTGTACACTCATCACAAACATATGGCCCAAAGAAACACTTGCATGGTGAGTTCTTGACATTCACTGATGGTTTCGTGCCTGAGGGACGACCTGATAGATTTCGTTGAGTCCTAACAATAGGCAGAAGCTGTTGGTTGGGGCTCCCTTTTCTATCATCTGGCTCTCCAGCCCTTGACACCTCAAGCACATTAGTGCAGGACTTCAAGGCAGCACGTGAATTAGCCTTCTGCTTCAGAGAGGCTGAAGACTGTTTGCTTGGACTTTCCAGATCCTGCAATATGTGGAAACTTTGTACTTAAAACTCTTGAAAACTAAGAAAATGACAATCAAATTGCTAAGTTGAGAGTAGCAGGACCCTGGGGAAAAATATACATGGCTAACACATACCGATAAAAGATATTGGCAAATGTAGCAGCTTACCTCCTTCAACTCATCAGCTGTGCAAGCATCCTTCAACTGCTCTTTCTCACTGGTGGCATTTTCTTCCTTGGATTTCAACAATGACGGAGGTAGCTGTGCCAACCCAAAATCCACCAGGCTGTAGCTGTAGACATCATAGTAAATATAATTAAGATATGTTGCTCAAATTAAGCAAAGTTGTACACAGAATAACATTATCCTTTTTCAATTGCCTTGATATAAGTTATCAACTTATTTATTCAGGAAGCAACTCCAATACCTGAGACTTGTATTGATGGGCATGATCTACAGATGCCCCTAGACATAAACATGGGTGCCAAAGTGTGACAGCTGTGAACCAACACCATGTGTGACTGTTGCCTGGGGGGCAGGATGGACTCAAAACACCCAATCCACAGGTTCATCCCAATGATCACAGAAAGAAGATAAAATAAATATGTCACATCGTGCATCTTAAAAAGAGCTGGTGGGCTTGGAAATCATCTTAACATTGCTCCCCTCTAGGTACGAGGAAGTTTTCAACTTTGTTTAGGACCTATTTTATGAGCCAACCAGTGTTGGGGAGTATTTCAAATAGTAGTTAATACAAATTGATGTATTTTTTCATTCATAGTTTAAGAGACTTAGGGTGAAATAATCTAAATTCAGATCGAACTTATGTACTGACTCCATAAAATAAGTTATGAAACAAAGCATTTGTGAAGTCACCCTAAGAAACAGCTCTTCCAAGCCTTGAAGAACAAACTGCTTCTGAGGGAGAGCTCACCAATGCTTTGTTTTGTAACAATGTATGTGATAGTGTCCAAACTTAGATGGTTTTACCCTAAAATACAAAATGACTCTCATTGTTAAGAAATCAATGAAGATGCCTGGTGAAGTTGTGAACAGCACTTCTTATGCTTTTAACCTGCATATCAGAAACATAACCAACTCAGATTATCCTTGACTTCAGGCTAGCTATCATGTGAGATCATATGAACTTTTACATTTGACCTTCGGATGTTCTTGAAAGAAGTCACCACTCATAAGGCTCATCATCTAAAAATAGACTGGACACACATTGAATGGTCCAAAGACTTGAAGAATTACCACAAGAAATTGCTAATATTTGTCCCTTCTCACATTCATAACTGGGGGAAGGTGGCAACTGCTTTGAGTTCTCACTTTAAGAAAAGTAACTAGAACAGAAAAAAAATTTGGCATGTGACTTCCACAATTAATGGATTAACTGGCATACATTCCAAGTTTATGTGATCACTTTTTCCAGGAGAATGTCAAAAATCTGAAGCACCCCTTTAATATCTGCTTACATCCAGATGTCAGCCATTTTGCTTATCATGGCCCACTATAAAAGCACACTTCAACTTCAAGGCAGGCTAAACATAGGCAAGTACACAATGAAAGCATAGCAGGGCACATAGCATGCACATCAAAAGCATATTTTTACACAAGGGCAAGCATGAGAGCAGAACACAAGGTATGAAACAGAATGTGCTCTACATCTTATTACCATTAATGCAGAATGCACTCAATTTCCTTAACTTATGTAATCATAATTAACTGGTTATGGGATATGAAAAAAAAGACATCCCAACATTGAATCTCCATATCTTTGTTCTTACAAGGGTAAGCCCTTGTAAGAGTAAAGATGCCTGCAGCTATCTATAGATCATATATCAATGGTTTAATCAGCCACTGTAATGTCTCTTCCATCCCTCCTGCTCCATAGCCTTTCCCTCCTCTAATCAAAAATAACAAGAAGCAAACCCCCTGATTGCAATGAGAGCATTTTCTCCAATGTCCGTTGGTTGGAAGGAATTTCAAGCAGAAGAAAACATCCCAGCCCTCCAACATTTGCTATCTTTTGGAATGGTTTTGGAAGATATTTATTCAATATCAAGATTAAGAGATTTTATGGAAAAATTTCATGATGTAATAAAATTGCACAGTATGATCATCATGGGAATGAAGAATACACTTTTGTTTCTCTTTTCTAACATGGCTTTTTCAATACTTTTCATAATGGTTGCCTGTATTTTTACTTTCAGTTCTACATTTCTAACAATAACTGATTAATAGTGTTTTCTAAGGTCATTTCACATACCATCAAACATCCTTGTGAATTTGATTTCAGCAGCATTAGTTCATATAAGTCAACCATTGAATTCCAGGGTGGGCAGTGTGCTCAAAAAAACCTTTTTCTTTTCCTTTCAGAGCAATTTCAGACACAAATTCTCACATGCATCCATGATGATCTGAGCACAGGAAGGCTAAGGATGTTTGTATATGCATGTAGGCTTATGCTTTCAACATGACCACTCAATCCACTTCTTAATGTGCATTGGTACTCCCAATTCGCCATGTTCTGCCATGCTTTCAGAGCACTTACATCTTAAACTCTGTTGAACCAGAAAAACTTGAACATATGAATTTGCTTTCATTATGAAATGGTGTCTTCACTCCATGGACAAATGCTTGCACATGTGTTCATTACACAGACTATTTCAGTCAATTTCATTGACCCTAATGCACCACATCAAGGCCCCCAAACATACTTGGGAGCATGGAAACTAACCCATGGAATCTTTTCAAAATACAACAGCACATTGGTTATTCTTGGAAAGCAAACAGAAATCAGTAACATGGAAATTGTAGTCTTCCCATCAACTTACGTTCGATTCCACCTGTCCACAAGGAAATTGGCAGGTTTCACATCTCTATGAATGATGTCAAGTTCATGGACACTCTTCAAGGCCATCAGTAAATTCTTCACATAATCCTGAATCTCACACACAGACATCTTCATGAAGTAATGCTGCATAAAGAAATATAGGAGAAAAATATCAAGACACTTTTCCACACTTCCGTCCTGTTTGTGAGATAAGTGGTAGCAATATCCCAGGGTTGAATATGAACCTTGCCACTGTCTCAAGATTAGTTTATCTGAGAGGTGAAGGTTTGGAGTACCACTACATTGACACTGATTTAACCCTTTGCAGTCCTTTTTTTTTAACACTGTCATAAGTCTATGGTAGGCAATGCCCTGGTAAATGATGACTTTAACCACATGGTAAAAAAAGGTTTTCTTGCACCAGTTGTAACTGAGATGGTTCATAATGAATATGCCTACTTCAAAATTAATCACAATAAACCAAACCAGACTAGAAAGTACTACAATATTTGAGTCTGTAATACTGCATTTCATGGGATAGTATGAAACCACTTAGAAAGCAGCTAATTAGTTATCTATGTGAGTGTTAAACCAGTCATGTTATTCCTCATCTGATGCTGACTGACATTTCCAGGAAATAAGAATGTGGATGTCATCAAGCAAATTTGTGACATTGCGGGATTCTGGTCATCATATCCATTGATGAATATAATTTTCAGGGTCTAAGTGCCTGTCTCCTCTTAAAGCAAAGGAATACCAAACTAAGAATGGTTATGAATGAACGTACAAGCAGTCTATGAAGTAAGTGGTGGTATAATTCATAAACATGGTGACTATGTGAAAAGAATCCATGCACAACTCCAGAGCATTCTATTATCCTCTCTGCAGTAGGATTCAAAATAGGTTGGTGCTGTGATGGTGTGATACAGAAGTGCACAAGGTAGAAGGGAGGAGGATCTGAGTTTATTTCCCTGATAACATTACAAGGCCTTCAACCACTGTTACTACCTTACATTACAGCAGGGGTCAGGAACCTTTTTGACCATGTGAGTCATATTAAGACTGAGCTAAGTGTTTGTGAGCCAAAGATATTCAAAACAATATTTTTATTGAAATTGGCAACAGATATGTCCATTCTTTGGTACATGAGAAAAATGAGAAACAACCATGATTTTTAGTCATGACTCATGAGCCAAGTTTTGCTCATGAGCCAAACTATTTGCACACTTTCCCTTGTCAAGGGGTGGTACACAGAACTCTGAATACAAACAACATGAGTTAGCATTTTGCTGCCTCACATGTCTTATATCATACTTTTCTCTTCTTTTCAGCGTGCATTCATGGTCCAATGAAAGAAATACTGCATTCTGAAGAATTAAGGGTCAACAATTTGGGCTTGAAAATGGTCATGAGCATTGATTAATGGTTCTCCAAAATAATTATCAATATGCTCTCACTTTCTGGGTGACAAATGAAGGTGCAAAGCGGCAGTTGTCAAATTTCACACATTACAACTAGGAGTGGCAAGAGTAAAATCTTTCCTTAAAGTTTACATGTTTTCCAACAACTTGAGGGGGAGCTCATGAGTGAGGAAATGAATCGATGAACAGTCATTGTACTGTAGGATGAATTTTTAGATCGAAAAAAAAAACCCGACGTTTTAACACCCAATCCCAGGCTGGGTCAGGAAAAATTTCTCTCGTACAGCTGGGACTCCCAACGACCACATCCGGTATTTATTTTATTTCAATTCAGAATACGCCAAAGAGTAGTTCTGGATTTCCTTGTTACTTTGGTGTTTTCCAAGTCAGAATAGTTCAGGAGATTGAAGAGGTGGAAGGCAGGAAAGGTTGGTGCTTGGTCATGGATGTGGAAGTATTGCATCAGTGTCCTACAAATCACATTCGTGATGATGAAAACCCAACTCACGACACTCTTCCGACCTTTCTCTCTCTCACTTATGCATACTCCTCCCTTTCCTCTCTTGTGTTATGTTTTTCCCACCACACCCATGATCATGAGTGGATTTTGTGGAGGGTTTATAACTCTCTTTCCTTGTAAAAAAAAATAAAAATTCCTCCAAGATGACTTAAAAGTCGTTCATGAGCGATGGCTCTTGAGATTCCTGAAAAAATGAATATTTTGACATATACCACGATGGAATAACCCGTATTCCGGATCTCGTTCGTTTTGGGTCAATTATCTATCCTGGTCTGACTTAGCTTGAGATTGGGCGTTACATAATAACTTAGAGGATAAAAAGTAAATCCGAATTCGCTATAAAGAATAAGGCCCGAATGCACAAATCTCATTTACGGGAAATAACATACGGGCCTTCAAGCTAAAGAGCTATTTTTCTCCCATAGGAGCCCAAGGCTCTCGCTATGGATCGATGGTTGAAGGTAATGATAATTACCGCCGTCGCGATCTATCGGAAAAATTTTGAACTGGTAAAACTGCAGCCCTGGAAAAATATATTTAGCAGTTAGTACAAATTACAAGAAGAGATTTTGTACACCATTCGAAAGAAATTAAACATTTCCTCCTCGGATGTGTATTTCCATCCGTATCGAACAATCGTAGCCCCCGTGGCACCAACGTCAAAGCTAGCGTTCGAAATTTCCGTAGCCCGCGTGCAGGCAACCTCGAAGACACGATGGCCACTGCTTCATGCGTCGATAAGTTCAGCTAATCGAGTTCATTCCACCCACCAATCTCCGAGAGAGCACCTGTTTCAATGCATTTTTTCTCTCGCCTGCTTGACGCAATGTTGTGCGTTATTGAGTGCGGCGAGAACAAAGCCCTTTTCATCATTTATTTAGAATTTCGTCCACTTTCGGCTGCCGTGAAAATATTGATGAAGATATTGTTCTTTTTCACGCTAAAAAAAAAAAATATTTTTTCAATGGTGCCGCCTTCTTCTTTGTAATCGTGCAGAGTCCAGTCCGGGAAAGGCAGAGGAAGCGCTACGTAATGATTAATTCGCAAGTAGTCTTCAGGATTTGAACTCGACATGTCATAGGGCGTTTTACCTCTTGACTTATGGAGAACTCTGGGTGAAACAAACATGCACAGGCGCCATTTGAATCCCTGTCTCTTCTCTCTCCGAATGTTGCCATAAAGGATGGAAAATGTTATTGTGGTGACGAGGTCAAGGCATGAGAATAAGAAAATTTTGTGATCAAAATTCCGTCAAGCGCCACGAGTCCTGCATGGGAAAATTTCCATTTCTATTCGATGAATGACCAGACCATCAAATCGGGTATGAATCAAAACGCGGTGCGCATGCCCTGTACGATGGAAATATCATGCTCAGAGAATACATCAAATCTCAGCGATCATATCTCGACATCCCACAACACTGCTGTCCGGAGAAAGCCAAGAGCAAAGGGCAGCGGCCACTCAAGCTTCCATCCAGCAGCGCCGAATCCCAGACTATCGACAACGGCATGAAGGCAGATTCTGGGTCACAGAGGATGGTTGGCCTTTGTACCAAGTAAAGCATAAAAAATGCGCCGCGTTTTTTTTTTCATTAGGCGTTCATCAATCTGCAGAAAACACAATGAAGACTTTTTGGCAACTAATTCAATCCATCTTCGTGCGTTCATCTGCCATTCTCTCACGCGGAGGTTTAAAAACAACTTCAAATTTGTTCTTGCGCTCACACTGCGACACCGACGAGTGCACGGGTGGCACCGAATAGGAATGGCAATTCTTTTCAGGGATCTTTTTTCCTTCTGCCCTTCCGAACCCAATGACCCAACACAGTATCTCGAGCAAATCGCAACTGTCAACTGGCAACGTCCCGGGAGTTCCAATTTGGGGAAGAATGGCTTCTCCCACAGAAGTGCAGTTCTTTTCAATTTTGATAATTTTGGTCTACCGCTCTCCCTCTTCCCCTCAGTTGAACCAGTTTCCTCAACTTGTGACGGTACATTTCTTTCACTCTTTACCAGGAAAATCTTGTCCCGCACCATCCTTTCTCAAATTGACAGGTTTTCATAGCTGTTCATTATAGGGAGAACCGTTTTCACGGAGAGATGAAGAAACAATGGCTTGAAATTTGAGCAAATTGTTTGCACCATCCACTTTCCCGTCAAAACCTTTCCTTGCGCATCATTAAATTACTTTTGTAAAATCGCTTGGGTTGTATCTCGAAAACGCACAAGACATTTTAAGATTTTCTCAGAAAATATAGAAGTTACAGCAAAAGTAAACTTAGTTCTATTATTTGCGCCACATGATGTAAACATTGCAAAATTTCCAAGCGCGATGCTTTCCCCATCCCCCCCTCATGCCTTATCCGGTACTTATCGCAGAAATCTAGGTTCAAGAAGCTCATGGCAAAAAAAAAGTTCCTCCAGCGGGATATATCCGGCCTAGCGCACCTCTCCTCCCTAATTGACAAATTACAGGAGAGGAGGCGGACGGGGGAGAAACTCCTCAGAACTCTGATATCCCTGCCTAGCTGTCACTGAGGATTTATGGACGTCGTTAGCGAATGATTCTTATCTTTCTCTCACGGCTCACTTCATTTCGTCAGATTGGAAGCTCAGCCATGTTGCGAAGGACTTTTCCGATGCCAAAAGGAGAAAAGCCATTCTGCCGACACAATAGAAGCCAATTCAGGGAATTGCTAGAGAAATGGAATGTGAACCCGTAATTCATGAGCTCCGTCACAGACAATGCTAAGAGGAAAATGAATGCTAGCAATCAGTGAGGATTAACCAGTCCCTCTTACTTTGGGCATAACATTAATTTAGCTTCGAGAAGTCATGAACGAATAGCAAGGTTTCTCATATGCTTAAGAAACACAGGAAGTACTCTGAACATTTATAGCATATCGCCATTGACACCTCGGTCCTTCTTGATGGTCAGAGAAGAAAAGCAATGGCTCCCTCCCTTAACGAACCGATACAAGATGTGATCACAAGATGAACTTCGATCTATGACATTCTTGTCCGCATGCTGGAGCTCCATCGCGCTGTTGATGACTATTGATTAACGCACAAGGAGAAAGTACGTGATCGGACTCTATGTTCGGAAGATTAGTATAGGGCGCAAGGGCTTCGCGAAATCCTGTCCCATCCGCAATTACAGGCGTATTGTTCAGCCCCTCCAAGTAACAAGGGCATGAAATTTCGTGTTTACTTTACTTTATTCGCCCATCCCAATAATCTATGAAGCGAAAGCGCGCTACTTCTTGCATAAGTCGCTTACCTTTAGTAACAAAAGAAATTATATCTGTGCAAAGGAAGCATATTAAAGGGAGAAGAGGACGACGCGCTGATTGGTCACGATTTCATGCGACTGGTCTTAAAAAACCCACTGCCTATTACGACCACCGCGAAAAAGAGAAAAAAAAGTAAGCAAGTCTCTTAGATCCTTGATTCATTGGTTGGATTAATTTTGCCAAGTTAGCACATTCTTCCGAATGAAAATAACCTCCATGTCGGACTTCATTTCCTGAAGCATCCGGTTTTCACTTGCGATGTCATTTCTCTCAAACGAAAGATGGACCACAAGCACATTCAATTGATCGAGGTTGCCCCCACCACTTGAAATGAAACCTGACGGAATCATGAAATTGCTCAACCATATAAAATCCTCAAATGCGAACGGGCAAACATCGATGGACGAAGAACGATGTAGACACCAGCAGGAATGGGGAAATCACCCCAATGGCAACCCGAAGGACGGGACACCTTAAACTCGCAGGGATAGCTAGGTAATACCTGGCCGTTACTTTTACGTCTGTGTCCAGTATATATTGCTGCGAAACTACAGCGTTCTTTGCTCTCTGAGAGTGTAAGGAATCTCAAGTCCCCTTAAACTAAAAATGGTTGACAAAAATGAAGAAATTCATCTCCATAGATCCCGAGGGCAAGTGGTGCTTTCAATCCCTTCTTATCATTCAGGACGGGACACTTTCATCCCTTAACTATTTTCTCGCAGGCATATGTTCTCCCATCTGATCCAAAAGTAATAGTTCTGCTGCACCATTTGTGCTGAGCTTCCTTTAGGGCTGTGTGCTGCTACAATATCTCCTGGGGCATCTCCAGTTTGACTACAATCACAATTATATGAAACTTTGATCCACATGCTTGACCATCTATCTCATGAATGAGGAATTCTCATTATGTAACTTCAAATGCCTGAGGATTAAATAAATCTAGCAGAACACTGTTGCTTATGTTGTTGCCAAAAACAATAGATGTATATTTTTTCCTCAAGAAGCTATTATATGAAGCACTTCTCATATTTTCCAAAATGAATGTGGTGCTTAAAATTCTCTACTTCATAAGCTATTACCACATACAAGGTGAAGCCAGGACCTGCAGGATGATGTCATATTTCAAAGATTCTTCCTACCATTTTGCAATGTGTATGTAAAAAAGGGCCATAGGTACACTACAATGCTCAATTTGATGTTGGGCCAGTGGGCTTCTGCTTCCTCTAATCAGCTAGATATTACACATTTTGTTTCTCATAATTAACAGTAAACTCACTGTGAATTTTTCATGAGCAATGAATGGCATGACAAGGAGGATGTGTGGACCACTTCTGATGATGTGCTTCAATTCTATCACATTCTGCTTCCCTCTGGATATGATAGGAAATACATACATTTCTATGTAAAATAGGCCAAAGCCAATAACAGGGTGGAGGAGAATTCATCAAACTCACTTCAGCAAGTTCAGGCAGATAATCTCCTTCTCTATACGAACAGGCAAAGAAGTGGGGATGATATGCTTCACAGCAAATTGCACTTTTGTATTTGAACGCAGTTCTGCCAAATAAACATTGCTGAAACCACCCTCTCCAATCCTCCTCGAGATAGAAAAAGTAGCCAAGAGGGAAGGAAATTGAAGATGCAGGAAGTTCACTTCCTCCTGGAAACTCTTTCCTGTAGATGAGAGGAAACATTAAGGTCATACTCTTACACCAATTCAAGTCTGTAATTATTCTTTTCCTTAGTTATTAGCTAAGAAGGTTTTGGGCAATTACCCAACCAGAAGTGAAATCAGAAACTGAATACCAAGTTCCTGGAGGTGGCAGCCAATAGGGAAAATGTTGATATTAGTTGGCCAGGCAGTAATTCAATACTACTCTCAATTCAAACCATAGGAAAGGCATTGGTTTACCTTTAGGCTTCTTTTTCTCCTTGGTGGGTGTGATTCTCAAGTTCTTCTTCAATGCACTTTTCAAGGTGATTGCATTATTGACTTTTGATGAACCAACCAGATGAGATCCCCTATCTGGTGCAGGTCTTGTTATTTCCATTCCAATCAAGCCTCAAAGGTCTTGAGGCTGACGTGTGACTGCTGGGTGTGGATAGAACTTAGCCCACACCCAGGGCTTCATAGGCCTAAATCAGGGCCTACATAGGTCTCAAGGATGTTTCCAATAGCATTGCAAACCTGAAATTAAAAATTTTTTTGAAGATATCCTTGGGCTAGGTCAATATCCTATGCCAGTCAAAGTTTGGCCCAAGGACAATATAATTTACTGGCTATTAGCTCAAATATATAATTTATTATCTCAGAATATGACCACCTTTAGGGCAACACTAGATCGTGTAATATCATTTGGATATATTGTTAAGTTTTTAGTGTATGTTCACAATATCACTTAGGTAGCCAAGGAGAAAGCTTAAGAAACCTGTGCTGGTTTTTAACACTAAGCCCACACAATATGACAGGAGAAAGACCATACAACTCCCATGCATGTAAGCTATTTCACAGTTACACCTGGCCTTTCAAGTCTCATACAAATATTACAGGCTTTGCTTTTCAGAGATGAACAGACCTGCAGAAGATAGAATAATTTTGCAAGCAATTTTTTTGGCCTACAAGTCCTATATGCCACAATGAATATGTGTACCTTACTTATCTGTAAAGAGGGTATTCAGCCCCATTCTGGATGATGAAAAAGCTGGCAAAACGGCCTTATTAGAGCCACTGGAGTCTTACTGATCTTATAGTAATAAGGCTTCATGGACTTGAATATATGATAACAATGAATTTGTCACCCCACAAGAAAGGATCAGCCATTGGCTAAGAGGAATAAGTGCTGAGTGCAGAGTGAGAAAACAAACACATCTATATTCATACTTTGACAAACTAAGATATGATGCCTGTGTTATGTTCATGATGCCCCAGTGGACTCCTCTTAACCCTAAATTGCCCTAATTAACTCTTGGAAGGGAATAAATAATTTCTTGCAAACATTCTTTTGAAGTATTTTTTTTTTAGGCATGGGCACACTTACTAAGTGGTATGTTCCCTGGCATCACAATGTGTGTAAGATTTACACACACATCCTTTTGATATTATGGGCAACTTTAAAGTAATGACTGTTATTTTGAAATCACATTCGGATAAAGAGGGTTTGAAGGGCATCCACAAGAATCATCTATTCCGTTTCCCCAGTGAAACCTAATATATATTTCCATGATTCCCATATCAACTAGAGCCATAGGGTATCTGTAACATTCCACATCCTTACTAAATATAAAACATCATTGGGCTCAAAGATTTGTTTTGCTGAGTTATCCAAAAAAAAGTCAATTATTCCATGATGCTGAAAATCATATCAATCAAAGAAATTAAAGAAAAATTGTGAATCTTCAACGAGGAACATTGGTCATTTTTAGAATATTAATCACAGTGATATGATGGAACAGGGTCCAAGGCCTATGCCTAGTCTGAATTTATGGTACTCAACTAAAGGCATATATTCTTTTTAAAATAGTTTTTAAAAATTTCTCATAAAAACACATCCTGTAAATGACATTGAAAGAAATATAAACCAAGATATTACTGTAGTGGCTCTAAATGATCAAACCCTTAAAAAAATTTTTCACAACTATGAAAATCTCAACAATCAAGTTTCACTCATACTAAGAAGCTGGAAAGGAGTTTAGAGGCTGATCATGCCCTTCAAGTGACAACGGACTATTTTATCGACCTAGGCCTGTATCTCAGCTGACAAAGACCAACAGAAAACGACAAAACAATGGTGAGGCCAGTGCAAATCCTGCCTTATCCTTTGGCCTACACCTACACATATCTTCTAGGCACAAGTCCAAGAGACCTCCTGGAGTATTGTAATGAAGATAACTAATTCACTGGGAAAGGTATAAAGGCATATGGAGGACGAAAGAACACTAGGGAACGGCCGGGGAACGAACTCCGATCTACTGCTTACTGGCTACCTCTAAATAGCTGAACGCCAGGACATTCAGTCGCTCTTCTCCATACGCTCCAAACCAATATCGTTACACTAAGCTTGGTGCTTTTCAGCTGAATATGCCACGCTTCGTTAGATTCTTAGGTTTTAGAGTGATACGAAATCAGACAGGCTTTAGCCTCAAGTTAGACGAATAGGCCTAGGCCTGAGGCTTTTAAGTTAGACTGGGTCCGACCTAGACTTAATATGTGCATAATCCAACATGCCTGGGTGTGTCAAAATCAAGTAATAGCAAAGCTAAACTCAATATATTGGTTCAACACGGTAGGCTCAGAACTAATACCTAACCTTAACACTGGCGAATGAGAACGCGCGCGTAAACTGAACTAAAGCGCCAAGCGCGAAAAGCCGCCTCCCACCGATTGCCCGCCCCCAATCGGCCCACAATGTACAGGGATGCAAGACCGTTGTGCCATTGTCACGATGATCATCCTGCAACTTGAGGGGATTTTAGCATGCAAGACATGCTTGATGATGTGCAAAATATATATTTAAAGCACACGGATCAATCCTCAGCCATAGGCTTACCCAGAAGCGCGAAAACTGCGTGCACCAGCACAGTAAAATCTTCTGAAACTTCCGGCGTCCGGTACAAGCGTTCTATGCAGTCTGCAGGAACGGTGCAAGAGACAATGCGCTGGGGGAATTCTGCACACTTCACCAATCCCGCCGAGGGATGCTAGAAGACAAGGAAACCGCATGTCAATGTGATAGTTGACCATAGCCAGTGAAATCTGCCTGAGCAAGCCTAGAGGTAAGATGAGATCTCGCGCACAGACTTCAGTGGAGAGGAGGGGATTGTACAGGATTGCGCTGAAAAAAAAAGTGAAATTACACGCAGAGCGCTTTTACGCGAAGATTGCAGCACCTTGTTCAAAATTCTTCCGGTGTTTTCGTTCGTACGGACCAGTGGCGTGCCCAAGGGGGGGGGGGGGGGTTTGGGAACCTGTTTAGAACCTGTAAAA